GTTTATAATTTTTATTGTGTTCTTGCCCTAAAGGTTTTCGTTACCTAATAATACCAAATTCTCTATTCTTAAATGTCCAATACGTACATAATTATCTGATATTGATTAACTTAAAGCATTTTAGAGTAGAAAAATATATATTAAGAGATATTTTCAAAAATGTTATTAACTAAGCAGTAATTTATTAACAAAGATGGCATTGAAGTCTACGGGGACAAGGTGTTTTTTTTTTTTTTTTTTTTTTTTTTTTTTTTTAGAATAAAGATTGAAGTAATAAGAATATAAATAAATACTTTGGTGGAAAGATGATTAAAACATTAGAAATAGAAGATAATTGAAAATGATTTTTTTTTATACCAGATATGTTTTTTTTTTTTCAACTGATATTTTTATTAATTGAAAACAGACGGAGATAACTCTTAACAAAATTCAAGGTCATAAATAAGGACACGTCTCATCATTTCATGCTAAGATAGTAATAAATGGGGATTATGTCGAAATATACTGAGTATTCAACCCCCACACATATGTTTTGTATTCCACTTCATTAAATCTGTTGCTATAAGGAATGGAATACCTTAACTACTTTATTGCTGACTCAAAATCCAACTTCTTCAGCTAGCTTCTGAATGCCTGACTTTCCAAAAGCTTTGCCTTATATACCCTTTGGTTTGGCTAGTCAATTCCAGGTGTTGTCAGGACATTCCATTATTTGAAGTCTTCAATGTGTTTTACTCAAATGGCCATTAACCATTACACCTATATATTCCTATGTAAAACTTTGACCCACTGTTTTGTCCCCGCTCTACCCCGGGGGCCATGATTCAAACAAAATTTAATTTATTAAAATTAAAAAAAAAATATTAATATTAAAAATAATATGTCATTTAATTAACAATGTCTTTTTTTTTATATTTTCAAGGGTTACTGAAAAAGATAGGCGGGATAAGATGTACATTCAAATAAATTTACTGTACTCAACAGTGATTTAATATTTAAAAAATGAAGAACAGTCTGAACAATGATATAATGTATAATAACGCTTCACAACATGACCAATTACTCCCATGATCTCAATCCAGATTGTCTTAAGTACCTCCAAATCAGTTTATAAAGATAACCTTACTTATCAAATGCTTTTTGAAATTTAATTTTAAAGAAATTGCATTCAAATTTACAAATACGTGATTTGTTCTTAAAGTTCGTTGACAGATTCTATAAATTTCTTATTAATAACTACCCTGTCAAAGGTTACAATATTATCTTGATGGGGACCATTATATAGTTATTGATGGAAATTAAGACAACACACGGAGTATATGTTTAAAATTCAAATCAAATACACGACACGATACATGTAATGTGCGAAATTTACGAGCAGCATCAGTGTTAACACTTCGTATACACAATCTGTATATCCAGTCCGACTTTGCGCTACAGTACCGACCAGACACAACCTAACAGAAAGCGAACCCAAAGCCCACTCCGGGTTTGCTTGGGTTTCGCTAAAGCTAACCCCGAGAGCGCACCCCGAACGAACCCGCAGAGGACCCAGAGCGAACGCCGAAAGCGAACCCAAAATTCAGTAGCGAAACCAGAATGCGAACGCGCGTTCAGTGTTGCGTAACAGAGAACGAACTAATTATCGGTAGGTGGTAAGGGATAGTTTCGTAATAAAGACCCGGTCAAATTTCTTAAAAAACTGAGATATCCCCTGTTTGATGTAATATTTTATGATTGATTGATTGATTGATTGTATATTGTTTTACGTCCCATTCGAGAATTTTTCACTCATATAGAGACGTCACCATATACCGGTGAAGGGCTTCAAATTTTGACCTTTACTCGGCACTCAGGGTCATTGAGCAGTGAGGGATCTTTATCGTGCCAACGCCTGCCGTGACACGGGGCCTCGGTTTTTAAAGTCTCATCCGAAAGACCCGCAACTTTCACTTCAAAGTGCCGTGCGCATGGCGAAGGAACAGTTGCTACCTATTTTTTATCGACTTAGGTCTGTCGCGGCCGAGATTCGAACTCACGACCTCCCGATCACGAAGCGAGCGCTCTACCGACTGAGCTACCGTGAACGGTTTAATATTTTATGAAGAAAAATGAATAGAATAATTATGGGACACATTTGCAGTGTAGCAGAGTGCTTGCTGAAAAAAGAATGATGTGCAACATGTAGGTGTCACTATGACGCTTATCATATACAGAGTTTTAAATGCGAAGCTAAAACACGTGGTCAGCTGAAAAGCAGTAGGGCTTAGAAGAAGGTATGTATCTCAGAAGGAAGGTGAATGGCCCCATATCAATTGGTGAATTTTCATTAGGGCATACATTGATTGACAGAATATTTGGTGTTTTATCCTGCTCGTTCGGGCCTCGGGGTGGGCTGTACGGGTGCGACTGAGGCCCAAATCCCGGAAAAACAAGCCAAAATTTGGGGTCCCGAGGTGCATTTTTGGTACTAAAACCATCAAAATCAGTGTTATCTTTAAAATCCTCTTTACTTCATGAAGCAGTCAAGCTCTTGGCATGATTCTAATAAGCATTTAGCCTTCCTCCAAAATTGTGAAATTTATGGCCCAAGGGTCAGGAGTTATGGAGTTTGGGCGGGGCTCTAATGATCATATAGTAAAAATGTACAATACCCTACAGCATTTTTTAAATAACATATATTCCATCACAAAGGTAAAATTTATCATAACACAATTCCTGATATACAATACATAATTCGTGAAAATATAGACAAATTCTCAAATAATGACGACCATTTCTCAGTTCCATTGTTCAAAAACCTTTTTTTAATAGTTCTTTCAGGCTTGATCATATTTGGTCGCTTGACCTATTTGTCCAAGTTCCTCATATTCGTCATTGCTCTCTATCTTGCCAGGTGTTGCTGTAGTTGTGTTTTGTATTGTAGTTATCTCTCTGTTTGTTTTTGTCTGAGATAATATTTGTCTAAACCTCACATTTCTGATAATCCTAAAACGATAAATTCTCATAAGTATTTCGAAAAAAAAAAATGATACAAAATTGAATTTTAAAATTGAAAGAAATTTTGATTATTACTGAAACATGAAAGAAATCAAAACCAAGAATTGTTTTCATGTACTCAAACGATAAATTCTCTTATGTATCCATGAAATAAAGAAAAGCTGGATATTGAAAAATATTTTGTTTATGGAGAAAAAATGAAAGGAATCGGGACCAAGAATAGTGTATAATGCAGAGTATATAATGTATGTAAAATCTTCCTTTTTCAAGACTTATAAGTATGCTTGACTAACAAAATAATGAGATTGCGTGCGATTAATATTTTAATTATTTGTTACCATGTAAAATGCAATTAACGCACTTGCCCAATAAATTGTTAAATTCAGAAATTTAAGAACTTTGTAGTTTAACAATGATTATGAATGGATAAATAAAGATAAATGCACAGTTCCATACAAAGACAGTCAACAAAGTATTATATATTCTTGAAAAGAATTGAATGAATTGATTTAAAAATTGAAATCAAATTAAAAGAATTGAATAATTTAGAGTTACAGAAGGATAATAAAGCCTTGTTACAACCTTTGATTGAAAAATCTATTTAACTCATGTCTTTTAAATGTTTCAATGGCAAGTCAGGTAACAAATAAAGAACTGGTATCAGTTCATTAGAGTGCTATGAAAATCAATGCTGAAGTTAATCTGAAGCAGTTCAACAAATCCCTAAGCCTTATGTAAAAGTTATTTCAATTAGTTTTTCCCTAACATTTAAGAATAAATAAACATTCAATTATTTTGTCCATATTAAAAAAAAAAAAACACCTATGATGTTGGTTAATGCTTTGATATAATGACTTAAAATGTTTATTATTTATTTATTTTTTTTTTTTTTGGGGGGGGGGGGGGGGGATTTGATTTTATTTAGGTTGTCAGTGTTTGGAAAAGAATACCAGTCGGACCCGAAGTTATAGTTCGTATGTCATCACATAGACATGACATATTGAAGATCTCTAAATAAGAATGTTAGAAAAAGGAAGAGTTTGTGAACAAAGCATTATAAAGCTTTTTATACGACAAATATAAAAAAAACAACACTATTTTAAATGTTCTTTATCACAATGATAGCTAAGTTGACATGACCTGATGAGATTAGTACAAGCATTCATGCAATCCAATTTAAAGAAAGTGAATAAAAAAGAGTAATTTAAAAATGTAGTAAATTTGGTTCAATAGTTAAATGAGTCCTTATGAAGCGTGTGATCAAGTTCCTTGTCTCTTTACATTAACAGAAGGAATAGTATACTTTAGTATTTGAGTGCATTCTTCTCTTAACAGCCTGTTCAGAGTGTAATCTTACCAGACAATTAAAATTCCGTTCAGTAAAACACTCAAGCAAAGGGCTGTGATAATTACACATACAGCATAAGGAGACGGTTGCGTGCTTGTTTCTACAACTTCTTCAACTTTTTGAAAGAGAAAAAAGAACTGTGGGAAGTCTATTGGATCCATTTAAGACATCATTACAATAACCTAAATTATAGCAGCAGGTACAATGCATATCGCAATAAATGTTTTTTTTTTTTTTTTAACTTGCAATGGTTCAAATTATTTAAGCAAAACTCAGAAAAGTAATAATGTTATTTTTTTTTTCTTTATAAAAGAAAAACTCCCGGATGGTTGTATTTCCATTTGATATTGTATATTCTATGTTTCCCCTATAGAATGCATTTGAAAAAAAAAATAAAGCATTTTTATCTTTAAAAGACAATTTCAGAATGCCCATAACCGTACAAAGAAAACACTTAAAATTTTCAATTAGAGCAAATATAAAGTATTTTTATACATGCTTAAACCAATTATTGAAACATATGTATGTGTAAAAATTAATTCATATTAGTTTCAATACATCTACTGACATCGTATTTATACCCCTATGGCCCTTTATATTTCTTTGAAGGTAATCCTGATATTCTATATGCTTAAAAATATTTTACTCTGTTTTATCCCATAGATATGCATTGCATTGATGTGACTGAAACAAGCAATGGTTTTCTTTTACCTTGTTCGCGTTTGTCACACGTCCCACCAGTCCATCCTTTCTGACAATCCCCAATACATTGTCCGGTCACGCCATCACAGGTGCCAGGTAACCCACAATTAACACTGCACTCGGTCTTGCAATTTACTCCAAATCTTCCCACTGGACACTCTAATTGCAGATTCTTAGAATTTCAAAGGATGCCAAATATAATATAATATTTGTATCATCTTTTTCTTTTGTTAAAATATATATATATATATATATATGCCCGATGTTAAATGATTCCTAGATGAATGTACCGAAGATTTAAAAAAAAAAATCCTCACAGTATGCAATCAGAAGCCTAGGAGTTTGTGAAGTGACTAAGAAATTTCCCAGAGAACTTTTTAACATTGATCCATGTATTTCTTGAGTATTCGTTTCCTAGTTTTACCTTGATGGCAGGTGCTTCCAAAATATCCAAGATCACAGCCCATGTAACAAATTCCACTTGTATGGTCACATTGTTGTCCATCTCGACATTTTCCACATACTTTCGAACATTGACGTCCATATGTGCTGTTTTGACATGCTAGAGATTAATTAAATCCTTTAGATATTTCGTAAACAGTTTAACTCATACGGATATTTTTTAGTGGAATCTTATCCAAATCAAGTTTCAACTACCGATAATTGAACTAGCAATTTTTATAGTGTTTTTAGTTTAGTATTGAGTTGAATGTAGTGCATGCAATGTTTGCTAAGCCTCTACTAAGTCAATCATGGCGATGAATAAATGATTTTTTTTGTATATATTTCGAGGGGGTTTAACTTGTTTGATTTTTGTTGGTACCAATGCCCCAAAATCTAAAGCTAATCGAAAATGGACATATATTACATAGAGTGTATATATATTATAAGAAGAATTTCAGTCATGGAATAATGTCCTGACGAAGTGGTAAAGTTTTAGGAATCTTCGAAAACTGGGTCAAAAACTTAAACTGGTTACACAGTGATAAAAACACACTTTTTTGAAATTTTATAATTAGAATGCTTAGAAATGAAAGAAAGAATCATAAACGAAGCATTGTTTTAAATTAAGATAAAAAAAAACCCTTGAGGTTAAAAGCAACACCAACAGAATTCATAATCACTCGGTACCCTAGTTTTTGAAAAAAAAAAAAAAAAAAAAAAAAAAAAAAAACAGTGTTTACGTTCTATTGTTATTAAAAAATGCAGATGTAAAAAGTGAAGCTATTAAAATTATTGTTCCTTATGTGACAGGAAGGGCTTTTTTCACTCAAGCTTAAAGACATCACAGCACGATACGTTCTGACGCTAGCATTTTAGTCATTCACTTGACAGAGGAGTGCATAATCAAGCCTACTCTATGCATACCCATCAGCTTCATATCTTATTTATAATATACACATGTGTTTTTCCGATTCATATTTACTTACGTTGCTCGCATTCATTTCCTTGGTAGCCATCATCACATATAAAACAGTGACCAGATGCTATGTGGCATCGATTGTCAAGGCAGTTTGATGGACATCTTGAGCATTTTTCACCAAAGTATTCAGGCGATGAACAACCTTATTACAAGTGTAGGAGTAAACATTAACAGGAAGCATATTCTAATAACATCTGTCCAACACCATATTTATATTACATTTAGTCGAAATGCCATTTATTACTTTTTCAATATTACAATACTGTAATTTATTAACGGAATAAAAGTGATATTCTGTCACAGTGAGACAGAATATCAGAATGCGGCTAAACTCGAAAATTTTCTTCCTTTCAAGAAGAATGTTTTAAAAAAAAATCCCCTGGCCTTTCTAAGATAGACAGAGTAAATAAACCATCCTGACAGGGGCTAAACCTGCCGAAGTTTCTACAAATATGTTGTTGAAATCCATGTTCACAATGTTTTCAATCTCACAATCACCAAGCTATGACTTCTCAACCGCTCAATTATGACGTCACAGCCTATGGTACTGTGTTGCAAAAAGGCAGAGGCAAAGGGAACATTATTAAATAAAAAAAAAAAAAAGAAAAAGTAAACAGAAAATTCAATGTTTGTAGATAGATAGGAAATTAATTTCACTCGTAAGACAGGATTTTTTTTTTAATTCTCACTCGTGCTTCGCAGTTGTGAAAATATCAAAACATCCTGTCCCACGCACGAAAAAGCTGTATATATAAACATATCCAACTACAAAACAGTGAATATCCTCTATGTACACAATATTTGGACCTCATAAAGGTAATTTTAGTCAAAAATTATTTGAAAAAAAAAATTTGATCTGCATATTTTTAATGAATATCTTGGGCAACATCTTATTTTCATAACCTTCCCCCGACCTTTAAGTTATGAAGCTTTTGACCAGTTTGACAAAAATGTCGTTTATAAAGTTATTTGCAAAGTTAAAGTAAAAAAAAAAATAAAATCACATACCATATACTTCGAATTCACACAGCTCGACATGCGCAAACTGAGAGTAGTAAGGAGGGTCTGTTGGTTTTCGTTCATTGTAGTAAATCACATATCGGCCGTAATGAGTACAGTTCAGTGTTACAACAGCGGGTATGGTCGCTTTTGTAAAAGTAGCGTCTTTAAAACATAAAACTCCATCACTCTTCTCAGTTGTGTTGGATATATACACAGAAAATCCCAGAAACCGACTGGCATGTCCGTTCCCGTTATCTTAAAAAGTTTAATATTTAAGAATATAATATAAAACAAAATAGTCTGGATAATCTGTATACTTTCTTGAATATTGCGTGTATAATGATGTTTGCGAATATGGTCCATAGATTACCAGATTTTTCATATTTTAAAATGTTTCCTATGTACGATCAAATGATGAGCAGGGAAAAGGACAGGGTCAAGTAAATATAGCTGTGTGTGCTTTATTTGAATTTACATTCATGATGCAATAATGAAAAAAAAAAAAAAATATCAGGAAGAACACCTTAATTTAATATACATTCTGTGGAAAGATATCACAAAGTAATACAAAGAAACCGGGAATCTACCTTCCCTGATTTCTTTCTTTCTCTTCAAATAAAATCTTTATATTGACTTCGGTTTCTGAATTAGTACTTTCTTACCCCACGCAGCTCCACCTGTCCTGTAGTAGATACGAATGTGGTCTATACCACGAATGGCTCCAAGATCGACTCGCCAAGTTGCATTATTTTTTCTACCTTGAGAAACAGCGCATTGTTTTCCGGAAAAGTCTGTTTTTCTACCATCCACCGCATTCTCTGATATATAATCAGATTTTCCTGAATGAGTTGAAAAGGGATTGTCCTGCCAGGCTGGTTTGCCAAAGGCAATGTTTTCTGAAGAAAATGGAAAAGTTATTTAAAATACCCTTCCAGAGGACAAAATGCATTTAGATTAGAACTTTGTGTAAGAAAATACTTAAGTATAACCTACAATATTTTTCAGCGAAGTCATTACTAAAAGAACATACTTGAAATACTCGTTAGATGTTCAACATATTCTGATTCAACAGGTCAAGTCAAGTTAATAGCAAAGCTCTGCTTGCAGAGCGAGCTCAAAAGACTAACGTGTAAGAACAGAGGAAATTCGCACAGAAATAAGTATATTAATCAAGCATTTTCTTTTTTAATTTGAAATCTAAACAGAATTCTTTCATTTCCACAATTCAAGACGATAATGGCGAATTAAACTGGTCTGCAGTTGCGAAAATATGGTTCTTGCAAAGAGTTTCTTAGAAAGAAAATAATCATTGCATCTACTCTACAATGCCTTTCACTAAGAGTTCCACTATTTATACATTGTTATATATGGAACTGTATCTAACATACGATATCATGTGACATTACAGTCGTAAGAGTTTTGTGAGGTTTGAACTCTGAAGAAGCGAATACAAAAGGTATAGGCAGTATAGAGATGTTTGATGGTCCATTTGCGCTCGTTCCAAAGGTACATGTTGCATCGAAAAACATAAAATTAATGAAACATACCTTATGCAACCAAATAATTTCTAAGATAAAAAAATAAGATCACGAAATAATATAATAAGTCTTACCGTAGCCATCTGTTTTTTGTATTGTAGTAAACAGAATAAAGATGATAAAATACAAAGCTGTTAAAATCCCTCTTAGTGGCTGGATGAATCTGTGAAGGTAATTCATTATGAGATTTTTACATACTTTATAATGTGCTATAATACTATATAAACTAATATGACAATGAGAGCAACGGCATAGAAAATTAATTTCGAACACCTTGAATTATTGATAATCACTTTTTTTAAAAAGATGATCTATTAAATATCAATAAATAGATAATGCACTGTTTAAGTATTTTCATATATTAGATAATCGACACTTATATAGCATGAACAATTAATTACAATGTACTGGTACTTGACCGGCAAAGAAGCTCAGTCTGTAGATCGCTTCCGTAATTTGAAGGCTGATGATTCGCGCCCTGGCCAAGACAAACTTATGCAAAAAAAGGAAACATCTGTTCCTCTTAGCACTCGGTACTATAAAAATTAAGGTTGTGTCACATTAGAATGCAACTTTGAAAACCAAGGCTCTATGTCAGACGTTTACACAATCAAGAACCTCGCTGCTCATAGGCCCTAAGGGGCGAGAAAAGTTTCTTTGACTTTTCATTTGAGTAAACAAAAAATCATACATAGAACTGCAATAAAAAAATCGTGATGATTCTCCGCCAGGATTTTGACATCGTGCTATTTGTAAATGATGCACGCTTACAACAAAAACTGCTCATTATTTTCTTTAATCAAGAATGTTACCTCATTTTTGTTTTCTTGTGGATAAAATGACTATCCATAAACTAAATTTAAAATATTTTTTCATCGAGGAATTGTAATTCGTGTTTCACAATGTTGGTATACACACGTACACTAATTTTAAATATGCAAACAAATGATTCACATTAGTTTTTAGATACAAATACATTTATTAAGTGCTTATTACGCAATTAGTAGATAAGTGATCTTTTTGCATTTAGGAATTAATTGAACCAAGTTGATGCAATATATAAACACATTTCCCTGATATTTGACTGTGATATTTTAATAGCTTTGTTCTAATACTTTGATAGCTCTAAAACCATTTGTCGTAATCTATATGTTCCCTCGTAGGGTATGTAACAGAAGTTTGCAATTTCAAGTTAAAATAACTATCTCTTACCTCATACTGTATCGAAAAAATATTAAACCAATACAATTAGAAAAGAAAATATTCTATATTATATTATATATATATACTTTTTGTGACGTGATTTCAATAGACCACTAAAACATGAGTCTACAATTCTAAGTATTTATAATAAAATTTCTATACGTTATTTGACAAAAAGAGGAAGTTTTTTGTTCATACCAATGAATTAGAATGTGTCATCACCCATTGGTTCTCGCAATTCCTTAAAACTAATAGAATAGAGAAGAGGCCCTACATAGCTACGTTAAGGCTTCCAAAAACTTTAAATTCGTTGACAACATAATATTGCACTGAGAGGTCTGTTTTGATTTTAAGTTGTGTACTTAAGTACAGCCATTTTATATAGAGGTTTCTCTCGACCACATATATAATCTTAAATCTTATTTAAGGTATCCGACCCATAATAGCCTCAGATTCAATGAAGTTGAATGCATAACAGATACGTATGGGCTGAATACTTCGTATATTTAGATAATTTTTTTCCGTTTTAGAATGTAACAGTGAAATATGCCGTAATTGTCTTTGAAGAGTTTTTTTTTTTTTTTTTTTTTTTTTTTTTAATAAATTTATTTACAGAAACAAACAAGTTACATTTATATCCTTAAGCATACACTTAAATACACATACAGACACACACTCACATACAGACACACACTCACATACAGACAAATACATATGGAAGAGGGATGAAAAAATATCAGTATTACATAAGTTTAAAATAATTTTATAGCATTAGTAAAATAAAACTCCTATGATAAACATACTTGTAAAAGACATTTCCAATTTGACCATCTTTTTTCAAATAATTCCTCACCATATGATTTTTTCTCTATAATAAAATAATCATTGAGGTACAATAATAATTCATTAAATATAATGGTACTCTTTTTTCGTGATGTTTGAAAAATATATTTCTTTACTAATACAATAATCATATTCAAGCCCACATCAATATCTACAGGACAGAGTATTACATTTTGTATTTTAAACTCTACTATTCTACCGGATTTTTGTCGAATCCAATCTTCTAAAGATGACCAAATTATCTTAACTACTTCACATTCAAAAAATAAATATCTAAGTGTCTCAGGTTCCTGTGAGCACAGTGCACATTGTTGATTATCAATAATTTTTGAAAAATACAAATATTTATTCACACCAAGTATTCTATGTAAAATTCTGTATTGAAACCAAAACAATGTTGTATCTTTTGTTAGATTTTTAAGATTAATATAAACTTGTTTCCAATTAAAATCTTCTTGTAGTGATAAATCATTAGTCCATTTCTTTTCACACAAAGGTTTATGTTGTCCTTGAGACATAAGCA